CTCAAAAGATGAAAGTATCGGAAATAAGAATGTTGAAGTGGGTGCGTGGGAATACTAGGAGAGATAAATTTAGGAACGAAGTTATTAAGGATAAAGTGTGAATGGCCACCGTAGATAATAAGATGAGGGAAGCGAGACTGAGATAGTACGGGCATATGAAGATGAGATGCATAAATGCCCCAGTGAGGAGGTGCAAGAGGTTGGCTATTATGGGTCTTAGGAGAGGTTAGAGGTAGGCCGAAGAAATAATTGGGGGAAGTTATTAGACAAGACATGGCATGTTTGTAGCTTACTGAGGACGTGACCCTAGATAGGAAGATATGAAGGTCGAAGATTAGGGTAGAAAGTTGGTAGGTCGTCGAGTTTGGGACACCGTATCTGCTCCATTTTTCCTTTATCCATATTAGTATTATCATCTCATATTTTCTTATTATTCGATTTTCATTACTGTCTTTTGTTTCCCATGCTTTGATTTACTTATTGCTTTGTTATGCTGTTACTGTTAATATTCTTATCTTTAGCATTTTCAACATGGCCTCTTCATTATTGTTCTCTTGTTCAAACCTGTTGAGAATTTTTTTTTCTTGAGCCAATGGTCTTTCAAAATAGCCTCTTTACAACCATAAGGTAGGGGCAATCTACATACATTACCCTCCTCAGACTCCATACTGTGAGAATATATTGGGTATGTTATTGTTACAATATGTTATATACCTTTTTCTCCAAGTTGTTGAGTAATACTAAGCAAAAGTATTTACTTACAATCACTTTATAAATGATCTAATTGAAATAAGAAAATACATGTAGAAGTTGAAAGCAAAGTTATTAATCTTAGAATGGTCAAATGAATGGAAAGGGAAACTCACTTGTAAAATGTGACTGTGACCAATTAATGTAAGTATATTAAGGTGAGTCAATGAAAATGAGGTAAATGGGTAAACATTAAGATGTAGTAGAGGGTGGTAGGTGTCTCCATAATGAAGAATAAGTATTGGATCTGGAGCTACAATTTAATGAATGCCTCATGTGACCAAACACCTTTCCGTGAATCCCAGCCATTGAATCATTAGCTTCAAGAATAACAAGTCCTTTTTTAGGATCTTTGTTTTCTTTTTATTTAATTTTTTTCTTATTTGCATAGGGAACCAGAAAAAGAAGAGGGAGAAAATTATTATTGAACTCAAATCTATTGTATGAAAATTTTCGTTGGTATCAATAGATTATAAGTTTTGATAGTTAAATAAGAAAAGAAGAAAGAATTGGTTTTCTAATTCTAGTAGTTAACCTTTACTTTTAAAAAAAAAATATGAACACTAAATATACCGTTACATTTTGATAGTATTATGAAAAGAAACTTTCTTCAGAACGGCTATGGTCTCAAATACAAGAAGATACACCGTTCAAATTGAAAAAACTATATGTATATTCTCCTTTTATTTCCTAAGTTTGTCATTTTTATTGGTTAAAGTAAGTGTTAAAATAATACTAAGATCTTTACTAGGAATCGGAAGTAGTAATTGTTAGCAGAAATTAAGGTACTTCTAAAAATAAGTATGATAATCTCTCTAAAAAATGATATCATTATTATTTTGGAAGCCAAACTGCTTTTTAGCTACAATTTTCTACGTGTAAACTTATGACTCTCATGGTTTTTTAGTTTCTTATTCAGTGTCCTATATTTAAATTAAGACCCCAACTAATTTTAATTTTGTCACATAAGGTTCATTAAAGAAAAAATATTGTTTATCAGTAGGATATTTTGTTTTATTTTTAAAATTTAAACTCAAAGATTTCTGATTAAAAATAAAAAAATATTACTCACCCCACTATAATTCTTGGTAGTATGACTCGTTGTAAACATTCTAAACTTAAAATAAAACCAATAGTACATTAAAAAATTGATAACAAAATACTCCTAATTCCAATGTAAGACAGTAATGATAAAAGTAACATGCAAATGCTTGGGCATAACACATAGGAAGTCGTATTTGTACATGAGTTATGACTTGTGAAAAAGATACTGCAAACAGAGTTGTACTTTTTTGGCTAAAAGTACCAAACAGCCCCACCAATCACACTCTGGTGGGACCCTCTCCATTGCCTGGGGTATTGTACTTTGTCCCTTTATTATTTACTATAGTTTTCGTATCTACACTTATATCCTCTCTTATTTTATTAGATTAGATTTCATTTAGTATACGATTTACTATATATCATTATCATTTCATTCTTGCTTATTAGTCATTGGTCCTGTTTTATTTCAACTTTCCGTTTTAGTTTGACTTGGAAATAAATTGCACAACATACTTCCTTTAATTACAATGATATTTCTTAACATTAAATTTTTTGTTATTTTCTTACTTTTTCAAACACTTAAATTTGTTATTCTATTTTTGAGTTTGCGCGAGAAGAGAGAAAATCAATTAGATAAAACACTATAATGGCTAAGAGAACATTAAAATCAAATTCGCAATGCTGAAATTTTGAATTATGACATTTTAATTATTTTAACATTGAAAATAATCTATCAAACACAATAAAATAGCATAATGGGAGATGTACTTCTTAGAGTTTAAGTTTTGCAAGCTTGCTATGCAAGAATATTTTATTTTATTACATTATTAAAATAATATTTTTAGCTGAGGGTTTATCAGAAACAGCCTCTATATTCTCCCTAATTAGAGGTAACGTGTGCGTACACACTATTCTTTCCAGACCTCACTTGTGATAACTTAGTGGTTCGTTATTGTTGTTTTTATTAAAATAATAATCACAAAATCATACATAAATAATGATACTCTAATAACTTAAAAATAAGAAAGTAACCTGCTAAAATATAAAAATAATAGTATAAAATTCCTTATAATTACTCATATGTTAAATAAAATTGTTTTTCTTTGTAAAATGTATGCATGTAAAAGACTAGAGAAGTCATACACTTAGAAATCCCTGTCAAAGTGTCAACGCCGTTAGATTTTATTTTTTTCGATATAAAAAGTGGTTAGGTTGTCTCCATCTCTCTTCATTAATATTTGCTATTGTGCGCCACATTTACATTCATGGATCTGCCTTCCCCCACTATACTCAATTATGCTACTCCTATCCACTACTGTCTTCTTCTTTTTTTGTTTTTGTTTTTTATTCAAGATTTTTTAAGCAAATATAGTGCAAGACTATTGAAAAAATACACGGTAAGATTGCGTCCGATAAATTTTTATAATTCGGTCCGGCTCCGAAATCCCCGCATAACAAAAATTTAGTGTATCGAATTACTCTTTTTTGATAATACATGGGAGGGATGGACTACTGTATTATTTAAAAATATTTGATAGGAAAACAAGTAAGAAAAGGCATGTAATACTAGGACTGTGCATAATTTGGTAAATACCGAATTACTATATTCAAACCGAATATTTTGATATTTGGTATTCGATATTTTGGTATTCTATATGATATTTAGTTTAAGTTTTAAAAAATATTAGTATTTTGTATTTTAAAAGAAAATACTGATATCGTACCGAAATATATATTATATTAAACAATAAACATATTATTAATTATAACATAAATATAAAAATCTAAAATTTTACTTTACTTTATTCTCTAAGTTCATCAATTAACTCTAAGCAAGTAACAAGACATTTCTAATGATACTTTTTAGGTTAAGTTTGGTTTTGGTTTTAAATTTTAAAAACCGATCAAATTTGATTTGGTTTTGGTTTTAATCAAAAACGAACCAAACCGACTATAAAAGTAACTATTTAAATTTATTATTACACCTATATATATATATATGTATATTTTTATATAAAGTTTCTAAAATTTTATGGTACATATTAGTCGTTTATATTTTTAGTCTAGTTTTTTGCTATTATAATAATCTAATTCTTTGCCTTTACATTCCAGTTTGATTGGTAGTTTTCTTTTGCTAAGTACAAGAATTTATTTCATGTTAAAAATAACCGATTTTTAATTGAGTACTTAAATTATTCATCACTAGTCGATTCAATTATCATCAATATATCTTGGTAATGACAGATTTCTCAAAGAGCAATTGGTTTGATAGTGTTACGTTGAAAATATAGTCTCCGGAATATGTGTTTGGTAGTGTATGTCTCATATTTAAGAAACAATCCGATAAATAACTGAAAAAAACAAAAAAATGACAAAAACCGAATCGATAAAAAACCGACTTAATTGGTTTGGTTTGGTTTAAATATTTGAAGAACCGACTTACTTGGTTTGGTTTATTTTTAAAGAAAAATCGATCCAAACCGAACCATGAACACCCCTATCTCTAGGTTGATATTTGTTAGTTTTGGACAATTTTTGTCAAACAAATATTTTTAATTTTGTACTTTTGAGTACTTTAATTTAGAATATTACGGTCTATGATTTTATGCACTAGTTAGTATTCAAACCGAATAAACCGAAAAGAGAAAAACCGAACCATACCGAATTTAATTAGGTACGATATTGATACTGCATTTTAAAAAACTGAATACTGAACCGAAATATCTAAATATTGTACGTACCGACACCCCTATGTACTACAATTCTAAAACTCCTTCTAAAAATACAGCATAAGTCTAATGTATGTATTAACAAATTTAAAAATGAATCATTTTCTCCTTTTTATTCATTACCTATCCGAAACTCACCAATCTATTCGTAGTATGATCTATTAAAGGAGGATGCGTTCCTTCTTTTTTTTTAAATGCATTCGGTATCCGAAATCTACTGACTCAGAACAAATTTTCAAGTTTTTAGGGCAGAGTGAGAGTGGGTCCAACAAGGTTTTCTTCCATATTCCATAATGAATGAGCATGTAGGGCTATGTACCCCACCATAATAGGCTCCTCCATTATTTCACTAACAAAATGGAGAACATTATAATAACTGAAAAGGGCAGGCAGCAGCAGAGATGACAAATTGTTTTAAACTTTTACTATAGTGAAAAAAGAGTGAAGCTCCATCATTGCAATATGACCATACCAATCTTAATTATTTATTCCTCTTTTTAGATTTTAAAATTTTCCCATTCTCTTCCAATTTTATTTTTCCTTTGTTCTTCAAAGATATATAACATATACAAACATCTCCTTCCATGAGAGATCAAGTCCAACCCTAATCCCTCACCCTTACAACATTCATGCCCCTCCCCCTCTCCTAATGACTTCTTATCTATCACATAAACCCTAATCTAATCATAGGATCAAAAAAGGGACTTGATTAAAGGAAGAAGAGAAAAAGTAAAAAAAAACAAAGCTAAAGTAAGGTAAGGATCAAAGGGAAAATTCATCTCCTTTGTATATTATGGCATTAAGACTAGCAAAGTCATTTAAGACTATATCAATGCAGCCACCATCCATCCATTGTCTTTGTCTTAGCAAATCTTAGGCCACAATCAGCAGCTCACATCACACTGCAGCTGTTGGTATTTTCATCACTGAAGAAGGTGCTGTAGTTATCACTTGGTGGTGGCGGAGGGCCGTAGTAATACGGGTTGTAAGGTGGTGGCATGTAATTAACTGCTGGTGGTGGCCGAGCGTACATCATTGGTTGAAACCTTTCGTTCCCATTGGCACGCTGCTGCTGCATCATCATAGCTGCCATTTGCTGCTGCTGCTGGTAGTAAGGATTGCCAGCCATAACTTCAGGACCGGCACCTTGGAAGTAACCGGCACCATTACCACCACCAGTCATCGGCGCCCCTGCCGGTAGGCCTTGGACTGCCGGAACATTGCCCATCTGGCCCATTGGATTACCCATCTGGCCCATTGGAAGACCACCCATCTGGCCCATTGGATTAGGCATGTTACCTAACTGGCCCATATTTCCACCAGCACTCATAGCCATCATCCTGTTTGGCATGCCTTGCATCCCATCATTTGGTCCACCCCCTTTTTTGGCACCATTGCCATTCATGTTAGGATTGCCAGCACCTCCGCCGCCGCCTCCATTCTTGTTCTGACCCCCACCACCACCACCATTGCCGCCACCAACATTCGGCTGCCCTCCACTGTTTTTGCCACCCTTTTGAGCGGATCCTCCACCTTGATTTTGATTTCCTCCATTATTATTCCCATTACCACCTTTCTTACCACCATTATTTCCACCCATGTTAACCTGAACAGGGATATTTCCTCCACCACCACCGCTTTTTTTACCGTTTCCACCGGCATTCCCACCATTGTTACCGCCACTTCCACCTTTCATGAGTTGAGGGTGCTGCCCATTCATCATCATATTAGGCATCTGACCTCCACCATTACCTCCCATCATGGGCTTCATTTGAGCGCCTCCATTACCGCCCATCATGGGCTTCATTTGAGCTCCTCCAATACCGCCCATCATCGGCTTCATCTGAGCTCCACCATTACCTCCCATCATCGCCTTCATCTTATTCATGGGGATATCGTCGATTTCATCATCAAACTCATCGTCATCAAACTCATCGTCATCAAAATCATCATCATCAAACTCATCATCAGTCAAATCATCATCCTCAGGCAAGGCAAACTTGACAGCCTTTGGGTTCTGGTCTTTGCCACCCATGGGGGGAAGTTTCAGGTCCTTAAATTGTGGGGGCAACTTCAGATCTTGGAACCCTTTCAACTGTTGAAGTTGCTGCTGCTGGTTTGGCATTTGAGGTCCACCTTTTGGCTGATTGTTTCCACCACCTTTCTGACCTTGGCCTTGGGCTTGCCCCTTGTTATTGCCACCTTTACCACTGTCAATTTGCATGTTCTTGAACTGATTATTGAGCTGATTTTGTTGGTTGTTGTTACTGGCTTTGGGAGCACCCCATAACTCTGCATGTTTCCCACTCTTGGCTAATTTCTTGATCAGTGTAGCAGGGTCTACATTTCCAGCAACAGTCACTTTTCCTTGTTCTGAATCTATGCTTGTCTTATAAACCCCTGGATAATAACCACAACCAAAATATAAAAGGATTCAGACTAAAGGAGTATAAAACAAGCCATATTTTGGGATATTCAGATAATAAAAAAAGAGTCTTGGAATGGGAAATGGAAAAATACCTTCAATCTTTTGCAAGATTTTCTTTACTTTATGCTTACACCCATCACAGTGTATATTGACTTTAAGGACACAAGTCTGCATGCACAAGCAAAGCCAGCCAACAGAAAACAGAGTAAAGTAATTAACTTTCTCAGTACCATTCAACATTCAAATACAAAGCACAAGAGAAAGAACACAAAGAAATTACACACATACAAAAAAAAGAACAAAAATCCAGAAAAAGGTTTGATCTTTCATTCAGACAGATACTAATTAATTTACCATTGGTAAAGAACAAAAAAAAATTAAAAAATGGGAACAGAGGATCTTGAGCTGGAAACTCAAACAAAAAGAGAAAACACACACACATTGTAGATATACATTTGAATTAGCCAACTGAGAGAAAAAAATTAAGTACCTGGATCTTCAAGAACTCTTCTTTACTCATATCTCCAAGCTAATGAAAAACCAAAGAAAAGGGGTAATCTTGAAATGAGAAAAGGGTAATTTCTGTAACTAATAGATCTAAGAGAAAGCAAAGACAATTAAAAATTAACAAGGAAATGGTGAATTAGCACAACTATAACTTCAACACCCTCTTCTCCATTTTTTTTTGCTTTTTTCCCTCAAATGGGGTTCTGCCAAACAGAAACACAGAGTGAAATGTATGGAGAAAAACAAAAAATGAACTTCAGCAAAGTGAAATTCTTGATTGAAAAAAACAAAAAAGTGAGTAGTTTAGAAGAAGGAAAACGGAAGAGAAAGTAAGGTTTCAGTTTCAGGGGCGGTGGGTAGAGACATTATAACTTCTCTGCTTCCTCTATTTCAGAGTTAAAGAGAGAGAAAGAGAGCTAGCACTAAAGAAAGAGCAGAGTGGCACAAAGAGTGAGAGAGAGCAAAAGAAGGAGAGAGGAGGATGGCCTATAAAAGTTCTCACTCACACTTCTTTGTTTTGGCCTTTATTTAATGCTCTACTACTACTAATTTTACATTTCTCTTTATTAATTTTAGGGCTTCTTGGAATTTAATATGAGTATTAGCCAAAGAAGAAAACTCTTTTGGCTTTTTCCCCTTTTTTTCTTTTTTTTTTTTTAGTTTTGAGGGGCTATAGTGGCTTAGTTGGCTTCTTGGCTTGGCTTGAGGATTTTTAGCTTTAGTTTATGGCTTCTTGTGAGTTGGTTGTCAGTTGGTCAGCAAAGTAAAAACTCAGAAAGTAACAAATCTGATAAATAAGTGATATTAATTACTCAACAGATATGAATAAACTCTTGTCAGATTTTATCCCAATGAGGTAATAATACAATAAATGGGGTAGGAAGCAAAAGGGGCATGTATAGGATTACTCTGAAATTTCGGACCATATTGAGCAAAGTAGTGTAATCTCTAGTCCTTAAAGTGTCAATTCCAAAATTCATAAAATCGTTAAATTACTATATAGCCCCTACACTTGGCACGAATTGTCACTTAGCCACTCCAAAATTAATTAGTAATTAGATAGACACATCTACTTAATAGAAGTTTGTCTTGTGAATACCCATATCTATCCGACCAAATGCGCAAAATACACTTTCTTATTTACCTTCTATTTTTAAATTTTGGAGGAGTGGGATGTCAAATTATAGTGGCTAGCTCAATTGAGTAGAAGTCATAATAAAAGACAATTATAGTGGTATGTACTTAATGCAATTAAGTACAAATTTGCAAAATTAAAGAACTGATTGGAAGAATAGCTCCTCAACACTCTGCAAATCAATGAAAAGAAGGAGATAATGTGAGCTAAGATAGAGAATGAGAGAGTGTATTATTCAACAAATATCGAATGATCGATATAATCCAATTCCCTTCCCTTATATCCCCACTAATAGATTTAACCAACTAACCGTCTAACTAACTCTCTTTGAAAGTACTGTTATACCCTTCTATTTATAATAATTGTCTAAACTACCCCTCATATTAATTGGTATATAACAATGTCCTCCCCCTCTAAGAGTCCTTGTCCTCAAGGACAAAGTTAGGAAACTGTTGTTTGAAAGCATGAGCATCCACCCAAGTGTTATCTTCAATGAGGCAATTGAACCATTTGACCAGAGGCTGTGTCAATCACACAAGAGTCTACGACCTGTTCTGGTTCCAAGATGATATGGCCATGTGAGGAAAGTGACACTAGGAGGTCAGGAACCATAGGAGCAGGGCTAATGTGCTTCTTGAGCTATGAAACATGAAATGTTGAGTGGATTTTAGCATGAGGTGGCAACTGAAGTTGGTAAGCTACAGATCCCACTCGCTTAATCACCTGGAAGGGTCCAAAGTATTTAGGACTAAGCTTGTGATAAGAATGTCCCCTAAGAGATATCTAACGATAAGGTTGGAGCCTCATATATACCAAATCACCAATTGCAAATTCCCTAAATGATCTCTTCTTATCAGCGTAGGCTTTCATTCGTGACTGAGCCAACAATAAATGATGTTTCAAAAGTTTGATGGTACTTTCCCTTGCTTGCAAACTCCGGTCAACTTCCCCCACCAGTGAACTATAGGGAATATAGGGCATGTGAATATGAGGTTTCTGTCCATACAACACTTCAAAAGAGGATAGTTTGGTAGCGGAATGATAAGTGGTATTATACCACCATTCTGCAAGCGGCATCCAATGTATCCAATCCTTAGGTCTATCGGTACACATGCATCGAAGGTACCCTTTTAAGCATTTATTGACCACTTAAGTTTGGCCATCAGATTGTGGATGGTAAGCAGTGGAGTGGTGCAAGTGAACTCCCTGAACATCAAAAAGAGACTGCCAGAATTTGCTTAAGAATACAACATCCATGTCACCAAGGATGGTTTGAGGCAGTCCATATAGCTTATATATTATTGTCTAGGAATGCTTGAGCCACTGAAACAACAGTGTATGAGTGCTTCAAGCTAATAAAATGAGCATATTTGCTCGATCTGTCAACAACCACCATTATCACTGATTGGTTGTGTAATTTTGGAAGACCTTCTATAAAGTCGATGCTAATGTCTTGCCAAACTTTTTCAAAGATTGGCAATGGTTGCAGCAGACCTGGGGATTTCACTGTTTCTCCCTTGCATTTTTGGCATACTTGACATGCCTTAATATGGGCATATACATCTTCCTTTAACTTCCTCCAAAAGTAAAATTGACTAACCCTTTGTAGAGTAGCTGACATTCCTGAATGACCACCTACTGCTCCAGCGTGCAAATATTGTAAGATCTGCTCGTTTAGCTCCTTATCTACACCCACCAAAAAATTTCTTTTTGATGTAACACCTCATCCTTTAACATATACAGGGGATTGGACAAGGAATCGTGTTGTATCTGCTGAAGAGTTTGCTGAGCATGTGGATCATTAGTATAAGAAGTTTTGATCTTTTTTAGAAAGTCGAAAGTGATAAAGGGTATGATTTGTAGTTGTGCTCCACTGTTAGGCAACCAAGATAAGGCATCTGCAACTAGATTATCCTGCCCCTTCTTGTAAGTAATGGTGTAGTCATACCCCCATCAACTTTGCTAACTATTTTTCTTGACTTGGTGTGGATATCTTCTGCTCCATAAGATACTTCAAACTTTGATGGTCTGTCTTGATAATAAAGTGCTTCCCAAGAAGGTAGGGTCTCCATTTTTGTACAGCTGCAATAATAGCCATTATCTCTTTATCATAGACTGATAATTGTTGATACCTTTCACTTAAAGCTCTACTCATAAAGGCCAAGGGATGACCTTTCTGCATTAGTATTGTTCCAATTCCATTCCCAGAAGCATCAGTTTCAATTATGAATTCCAAAAAAAAAATCAGGGAGAGCCAAAACAGGTGTTGTAGTCATGGTTGTCTTCAGATCATTAAATGCTTTATTGATCATATCATTCCATACAAACTTGTCCTTTTTTAGGAACCATGTCAGTGGTTTGGCTATCAAACCATAGCCCATAATGAACCTCCTATAATACCTTGTTAGCCCCAAAAATTCCCTAAATCTTTGACTGTTCTGGGAACTAGCCAACTCACCATCACACTGATCTTACTAGGTTCAACTATCACTCCCGTTGAGTTTATTACATGCCCCAAATACTCCACTTATGTTTGCCCAAACTAACAATTACTCATTTTTACAAACAAGCAATTTTGTCTTAGTAGCTCAAAAGCTTTCCGTAAATGCACCATGTGATCTGTCCATGAAGAGTTGTATATCAAAATATCATCGAAAAGGACTAATATGAACTTCCTTAAGTAAGGTTGAAAGAACTTGTTCATTAGGCTTTGGAATGTAGAATGTGCGTTAGCAAACCAAAAGGCATTACCATAAATTCATAGTGGCCATAGTGTGATCTAAAAGCTATATGTTCGATATCTCTTTCATTCATTCATATTTGACGGTAACCCAACCTTAGATCTAGTTTAGAAAAATATATTGAACTCCCTAATTCATCTAGGAGCTCCTTTGATAGTATAACAGTTGAGTTGTCTGTAATCGATGCATAACCTCCAAGTGTCATCTTTCTTCTAAACCATCACAATAGGGGAGGAATAAGGACTTGTGCTTGGTCTGATAACTCCTACATCAAGCATTTCTAGAATCATCTTCTCGATTTTATTTTTTTGACTAGCTGGATACCTATAGGGTATCACATTTACTAGCGGTATATCTTCCTTCAATATAATTTTGTGATCATGTTCTCTCTGAGAAGGTAAGCTGGCAGGTGCCTCAAATATAGACTTGTACTGGTTTAACAACTTTTGAAAATTTCGATGAGCTTCCACCTGTTGTGATTGCAAGCAAACAACCTCTTTATGTATAGGTTGGATATGTGCTACAATCATCATGCTGAGTTCAGGGATTTTACGTAATGGCTTTTCAATCTTTTGAAGAGCAATCATTTTAGGTTCTCCTGGTTGACTGCCCCTCAATAAGATCTTTTTTCTTCCAATTTGGAATTCCATCTTGAGCTGCCTAAAGTTCAACTTTATATCTCCAAAGGTAATGAGCCATTGTATTCCTAGAACTATATCAGCTCCCCATAATGGCATCACTAGAATATCAGCTTTGAATTCAACTCCTTGCATATTCCAACACACCCCGTACTTATGTAAGAACTAGCACCTTACTCCCATTGGCTACAGCTACAGAGAAAGGTGGATTCACTTCCAGCTTGCAACCTAGTCTTTTAGGAGTGTAGAGATACATAAAGTTGTGGGTGGATCTAGAATCTACCAAAACGTGCACCGTCTTACCCTTGACTCCCCCTTTAACTCTCATGGTTCAAGAATCTACTGAACCATCAAGGGCTGCAATTGACACTTGAAGATTCAATGTTGATTCTTCAGCTGTTTTCTCTCTATTTGTGTACCCTTCTGATTCCCATTCTTCTCCTTCTTCATCCACGTCTATGATAAGTAGTTGTTTCCTTTTCTTACAAACATGGCCAGGACTATATTTCTCACCACACCATAAACATAAGCCTTTAGATCTTTTCTCCTTCATTTCTGCAATTGTAAGTCTTCTTGAAGACTTGATTGTGGTCTTCTTGTCAACTCCGTGCTACTCTCAGGAATCTGACCTTGAGAATAACCCCTGGAGTGTGAATTCCAACCAAAGTTTGGGTTAGGTAATAAGAGCCTCGAATTCCTTACAATTGACTGATTTTGTTCCCTTTGTAATATCAGAGAATGTTCAGCCAATTTAGCCAAACTATAAGCTTTCATCGGTGTTCTTGGTGCTAACATTCTCACATGTACTTCAATATCCGGCTTCAGCCCCTTCAAGAAGTAGCTAATGGAATATTCCTTCGATAATTCTACTTGATTCAACAACCCATTGAACTGATCCAAGAACTCTTGAACATTGCAGTCTGTTTCAAGTTAATTAAGCCAGACATTGGATCCTCATATAGAGTATGACCAAATCGATGGAACAAACCCCTC